TCTCTCCTCTCTGTCTCTCGTCTTTCCGTCTCTCTTCTCTCTCTTCTTTCGCTGGAGGATCCGGGCAAAGAGCCACATATAAAGGACTCTTCACCCCTGCCTCCAAAAAGAGCGCCGTGTTTTTTCCTACCTCTCTGCCCTCCACTTTCCCATTCTGGAGCGCTAGCTTTCGCCCCTCCCTTGGCCTCAAGTATCTGGAGCTATGTTAGTATTCAAAAGCAGTGGAAACAAACGGGGAAATCTGGGCAAGGTTGGACGCTGTTGAGCCTAACGTGGAACAATCGAAAGCATGTCTTGAGCCACATCGGTGGTCTATGTTAGTGTGTGCGCCTGTAGCACGTCTGGCTATCTCTGCATTTCTGTGCGCCTGTAGCGTACTGGGTGTACGCTTGCAAGGGGTGCTGAGGTTCAACTGTGGACAACTTGGGGAATTTGAGGGATTGTTGGATGCTTTGAGTCTAACATGGAACATTTCAAGATCAAACACCGTGCTCACCGGGCAGCTTTTGGCCATTCATCTGACCCTGCTGCTTGTTGGCCATCAGGTATTCTATGTTAGCATCTGCGGTCCCGCTGCAGAAACTAGCCATGCTTACTTGGGAGTGTTTTATGTTAACCTCCAAAAACCACATAGCTCCAACCACATAGTCCCAACCTTTGCTTTCCTATTTCCCCAGGAGGTCACCGTTGCAGGTGTGCCATGTTAATGAGCACCAACTTTGAGACCCGTGCTTTATGGTAAATTTCCCGGGAGTATTGATTTCATCATAGGAATTGAATGGCAACTAAAATTGGATTTAGAACTAGGTCTGGATCTGGAGATCAATACCGGTTGGGTGTATATATGAGGAAGTGTTGGAAACCGGATGTGGAAGAACTCGATGAACGTCTGAGGAGCGTGATAGAACAAATGTATTTATATACAGAAAAATATAACACTGTGCAGCTATGAGCGCGCGGTCGAAGGAGAGTGTGTCAGATGGGGTTTTGTGGAAGAGTGAGGCGTTTCCCGCCATGTGTGGGCAGCATGCCTGACTCCCAAGAAGCACTGGGGACATGGTGCTCTTGAGTGACTCTGCAGCGGCCGTGCCGTGTTTCTTTTGCGCAACCACGTTGGATGCTTTCTGCGCGCGGGGGGAGCACAACTGTATTGAACAAACATTTTTGTGTTCCTTGGCGTGTATGGGCCATGAAACACTTTGAAGACTAAGCTGGAGGGCCGCGATAGGGGATCCCCAACAAAAAACAGGATGAAGATCTGAAAGGTTTTCGGCATTATGTGGCAGCGACTCGCATTCAACAGCTCGCATGCAACGAGATGAGTGGTTTTGCAACCTCTACATGTCCCCAATCGTTTTGGCTCAGTACTCCACATTGGGGGCATGCACGGCATGAAGTGCAAGCAATTCGCACACACACACACACTATGACACTGTGTGTGAGAACGGGCGCAGGGGGACTGACTGGGTGGGAGTGGGCTGACATGTGAACCTTTGGGACCTCAGTCCTCATACAGTGTCATACAGACGTGCCAAGTGGAAACATGGAACACGATGGCGTCGAAGGATGGTGGTGGCTCAGTGCTCTCCTCAGTGCCATCCTGGCCTGCCTACTGGAGGGGGAGATGCAGTGGAAATGTTTCGGCGGCGTGACTGAGGCCAACAACAACCCCCATCCATTGCAGTCCCTTTGCTGCAGGTATTTGCTCCAAAAAATTGTGGGGGAGGTGCGGGGTGACAGCGGGCAAGTCATGCATTTGTTGGACCAAGGCTGCATGCGCAAATCGATGCTTTGTTTCGGAATTCCGAGCCTCCTACCTGCATCAAAGTACCTGAAAAAGTCTGAAAGTGGGAACGGCGCAAAGGGCTGCCATGTCTCCTTCAAGGTGGCCAGACATATTGCACTTTTTGCAGCGTGGCTATGAGAAATGCACCTTCGAGGGCCGGGCCGAGATTCAGCTGCGGTTGAGGCAGCGCCAGCTGATTGATTGGATTGAGTGTTGGAACAGATGGTTTTCACAGACTTTGGATCCCTGATTAGTGCTTGGTGTTCCCTTTTTGTGGTGCAGTTTGTGTGTGGTGACTGGGTGCTGTGTGTGGTGGAGAAATGGTTTGGACAACATAGAAACATAATACCATGAGTCGTCCGTAAGATAGTTGGGATTGGGAGAACTCACAATTGAAAAAACAACATATTGCATGCATGTTGAAAATACATTATAGGGGAACCAATGGGATAACCAATTCATGTGCAATGGGGGAACGTCAACTCGATGCGGCCATATATGTTTTGTTTAGTATTTTTCCTGGTGCTTTTCGTGGCAGGTGGTTTGTCTTTGTTTGTGGCTTAATCAATTTTTAACATGGTTTGTTATTCCACGCAAACATCTTTTCAATAGTTTGGACGGTCGTTGGGCCTTGGGAAACACCATCTTGCAGGAGGCTTTTGCATGAGTGTGTCTTCACAGGCACGGAATGACATTGTTGTATAGTCTTATATAGTTGTTTGATTCAACCATGTTCTTGCTTGAAACTGTGGAAGGATTAGCATACTTTGTGGAGTTTGTTGGCAGGTAGCAAAAACCAAGCTGCCTGGGAAGAGGCTTTGGTGCGCCCTTTGGTAGCTGAGGCTTCTGCGCTCCGTGAAGGTCGGGCCAATGAACAAAACCGTTTGTTTTGCGGTTTTGATCATGATTTTGGAGAACATTCTGCAGAAATGGTAGTATTTTCATGTATTTTCGAGCGAATGGACAATTTTCATTGATTACGGCAACTACCGCAGTTGGTGGCAAACAAGTTGAAAGGACTTGAAACTTTTGACATGTCATGTTTGCTAGGGAACACTTGGAGCAGTGTCCTTACGTTTGCCGCTACGCTGGAGACTCAACACCTACTGGCGGCCGTCAGCCATGGTTTTGCATTGGCAGTTAGGGCGCCGGTGGTGTGGGTCTTCCGGCTGGTTTCAGTGAGTGTGTTTTGCTTCATGGTTGAGTGGCACTAAAGTTTCGGCAATTGTACCTGCAATGTGGAATCAAGGATAGATACTGTAGCCTGTTTCGTTTGAGGTATGTGAAGGCAATGTCAATGCTTAACGCACTGCGCGACAGGAAGGGCACGATGTGAGCTTCCAGGAGAAGCATTTCAATGGCTTAAATCGTCGCGGCTGGTGCAGGGCGTTAGCCTTACTGCCATGCTTGGTTCGCGCCAGGCAAGGCCAGCCAGGGGGATTTCTGAATGTTATGATGTCACAAGGTTCGTTGCTGTCTAGGAGCTTGCGACTCAGCAGCTTCCGTGACAGCAACTTGCAGCTATTTGCGGCCTCAACATTGCAGAGAGCCTCCCGGGAGTTTTGCTCGCAGGCATGGCAATGCCCAAAAGCCAGTTTGGCATGAACAAATCATGATACTGGAGATTGTCAGCATTGGATTCTCAGCTTTGAGGGGCAGGTTTTTTCCAATGTTTTGACACAGGTCGTCGTTTTGCCGTACAGCTTTTGCAAGGCGTTGCCGCTCATGCGAGGATTTGCATTGCTCGGTCCAGAAATGTTGATGCTGCTTGATTTTGCGGGTGGATTTGGTTGGTGTTGAGAGCGGCTACAAAGGTTTGCTTCAGCCTCCACAATCTAGGAGCCAAATCATTAGTGCGAGCGCTTCTTCAAGGAAGCTCCCCCCACCGCCCCTTTGGGCGGGGGGGAGCTTCCTTGAAGAAGCGTGAGCTATCCTGCGTCCAGTAGGTAGTTGCTCAAGTAGCTAGCAGCTAGTAGCGAACTAGTTTCTTCCCTTACAGTAATTAAATGGGCACGTACTTGATTAAGTAGGATGGCAGAGGGCTCAAAAAACAACATACAAGCAAGATGGCAACGCACAGGAACATTGCGGTGAACACATCGACCTTCCTTCTCCTCGGCATTTGGGGGCACAAAGGCCGGCTGGACCTCCAGACAGTTCGAAAAGCGACGGTTGTAGGCGTGTCCAGCCGCTTGAAGCCCTTGGCCACCCTTGACATTCAGCCGCAGGCTGCATGCTTCCTTGGATTTTCACCTTTTTCATCAATAAAGCGGGCGAGCATCCCTCCTGTCATGGATTGATTCCTTAATAAACTAAACGTGACGCTTCCCTCCCAGACATCTCCACTGCCAGTGTCGGGGTCAATTCTCTCTTTAGCCTCCCGAACCAGTGAATACTACAGAAACAAGACAAACCTTATGTGACCTCCAGGCTTGTTCAATCCGTGTGAATATTCACTGGGTTATGGCACTTCTGCGTGCGGGGTGGGGTTTCTTGTCTTCCTCGTCCCCCTTCTATATAAATCAATCTTTAAAGTCATCATATGACCAGTGCTGCACGCAGTCCTGAATCCATGTTTTGTGGTCAGACTTCAGTCAGCACGTCACCCTTGCTGTACAAGAGCAATTGGCATTGTCACCACTGATGGGCCCCTCCAATTGCTCGAAATTTTCAGACGCCTTTTCCATGGCGTGAAGGATTTTGTGGGATTGTAGACGTGTTGCACGTGGTGGAACTTTGTGTTTGCATTTGGTCCAGGTGACTGACAAATTGTGGGCACACAGAATCCGGAAATAGGACTCATAGGGCAGAGCCTTCGTGAGCGCAGAAAACCTGCAGATGTGCAAGGCAAGGTAGCGTAAGGCAACACCTAAAGTTGATCTTTCACTGCGCTGTATCAGAAATTGATGTGTGTCTTGTTCGCTGTTTTGTGTTGCAAAGGCGCACGGATGCCCGCAAGAAGGGTGGCGGCTTGCTGCTGGGCACTGGGCCTTTGCAATGGGATGAGGAGAATTCGCGAAGCTTTGCAGTGCGCTTAGAGGTGAGCGGAGAGATGGTTTGGCTCGACTGCCAGCTGTTGAAGCTACTAGTAACAGGTGCATCGCTACTAGGAACAAGTGCCTTACTAGTAGTAACAAGAAGCTACTAGTAACAGGTGCTGCAGTGTTTGCCACACATGGCATTGCATTCTTCGTTCTGTGCCCTGAAGGTGCTCTCACCTGGCGAGCGTTTGGACATTGGTGTGACAGCACAGGTGTCCCGCAGACATCCGCAGACTGTGTTTGCTGCAATCTAGATCCATGTGGAAACAACTCCAGAGACTTTTTTGATCCGACCCTTCGTGAATGAGTGTATGACGATTGTGCACTCACACAATTTTTGGTTGCTTGGGCCTTGCCAATTCTGGCATGAACACTAAAGTTTTAGGGGTCGTCCTTGGATGTTAACCAACAACATGAACAGCTGGCCAATTGGCTCGTTTTGACCTTGCAAAACCCCGTGGTTTGAGCGTTTGACCTAGTAGCTGCACTGGAGGCACCCTTTGCGCACTTTGCATCGGAAGCGACAGGGCGCCGCCGGCCACAGGTGGCCTTTGCTGAGGAGGGCAGGTGTGTCGAAAGATACAAACATCATTACAACTTGACCTTTTCAAGGTTTGTTTTTGGCGTCACACTTGTCTAGAGTTCTTTGAGAACTTCTTTCGGCTGACAGCAATCAGGATTTGCTCAGCAGCTGGGTGGTTGAGTCCTCGGGGCTTTTGGTTGGAAGCCATGCAGGCCAAACCCTTTTTGATGTTTCTTTTTGAGGGGTATCCAGCAGACAATTTACATAACAGGTTCCGAGTCTTCTTTTTGCAAAGCCACTGTCAAGTGCAATTGCTCATTGTGGAGGCTTGCGGATCCGAGACGAGCGTTGGAATGCCCGCAGTCTTTGCGCCGGAGACCTTGTCAGGCAATAGGAAAGTCCGGATTTAGAGCAGTTGTCAGAACCAAGGCATCCCTTTATGCACTTGGCAGCCAATTTTCCAATAATGATGAATGCCTCGAAGGCTAACAGTCATGATGAACGGCGAACTGCACTTGTCGGTCAATGGCGACTCTGTGGCAATGTGGCGGGCACAGATTCCTTGCCGGCCTGGGCCTCACTTAACGGGGGAGAAAAAGATACTCCCAGGCAAACAAACAAACCAAACAAAATCAAAGAACTTTTGTTTTGCAACCAATTGCCAGGATTCCTATCTTCCCTGTGGTCGATCTTTTTGAAGGCGCCCCACAGATTCGATTAGAACCTTTAAATTTCGATGGAAAATAATTCTAATAATATTAGAATTAAATACTGTATACAAACATAATTCAACTAGATTTTTTTTATAGATAATACTCTGGTTTTGCCATGTATAGCAACCCTCTCATGTGTGTACATGCTTTCTACGCTATTTGTATTTGGCTCAAGTAAAAGAGGCGCGTCCGCAGCTGTTGCCCGCTGCCGGTCACGACGACGCGTTTCTTGTTCGTGTTTGGTTGTTGTTTGTGTTGGGGTTCCGGTTCACCGGTTCAAGTGGTTATCAGCCGTATCGGCTTCTCATTGTATTCCTGGTCTTGTTACAACACAACAGCATCCTTTCATTAGTGTGGTTGCGGGGTCCACAGAAAACCCGTGCACGCCACATCGACCGCGGACGCCTTCCAGATCGCCTCCGCGTCGATCGTCGCGGCCTCCTGAGCCGCCAGGCCCGCCGCCCAATCCTCAGCGGCGAGGCCTCAGAGCAGGTGCTGCTGCGCGACGACGCAGGGACGCGTTCATTGCCCATCAGGAATGCAATCCGTCGGTTGTTCCTGTCGTTCACGTTGGCGGCCACCGAAGGCCACTTGGGACTTCTGACGAAGTTGAGATTGTTGCAGTTACAGCAGCCAATGATTTGGCTTTGTTAGTCGTTCTTCACCCGTGATCGCGAGTTGACATTGTTTACAGAGAGGCCTTGGCATTTTCATCTTCAGCCAAGTTTTACGTGTGGGCGAACGGTGATTCGTTGAGGCAGGCAGCAGATAGGCCGAATCACTGGGGTTCTGATCCGGTGATTGCATTGGACTACCACCAGGTCCTTGACGTTGACCGGAGTGTCAATCCTCCGGATCGTGTGGATCACGTTGGTAATCTGCCTGCGGGCCACGTTGCAGCAGTTCGTCGCTTGCGCCAGGAGATTGTTTGGGGCTTGAATTGTCGGGTGAAGGTGGAGATCATTGTTTTGTCGTGCATTCACGACAGCGTGGTGAACGTGATCACCGCGGTACAGCAGAGTTCATTGTCGGTTGATTGTGTGGTTGTCACCCGCGAGAGGACGGGCCCAGGTGGCAAGTATCAGGTGCTGAGATCGTTGACTCGAGGTCAAGCTGTGATCCTGGACGACAACACTGAGGTGCTGCAAGAGTTCAGTGAAGCGAGCCTCATTGCGATTCAGATTCGCAAACCTCGAGTTGCAGCGATTTTTGGCGAAGAGCTTAGGTCTTGGAGCTTGTCGGCGCCTTGGCTTGTTGATCGTTTGGTGCAGTTCGTACGGCGCCATTCGAGGCCGGGCGATTGAGATCGCATCCAAGCTGCTCCTCACCGGCTGCGTCAGCGCCGCAGGAGCCCTGTTCGCTAGGCCAGTTCCCGAAAGAGCCCGGGCCAATTGTGCTTCGTTCCCGCCAAAAGAAAAACGGGGTTTGGTGGTTTAGCTGTTGCTGTTCGAAGCAAATCGCAATATTCTTCTCAGGGTTCAGGAACCCCGCGTGAAGGTCGTCCAGGATCGAAGCCTTCAAAGAGATCTTTGAGTAGAGTCATCAAAAACCTGCCCAAGGGCCGGCGCTCACGGACCAACGGTCGTTGCCTTCGTCCAGTGGGTTGCTCCAGAGATCGGTAGGCCCTGCTAGGATCCAGAGCCCTGGAGAGGAAGATGAAGTCATGCCCAATCCATCAAGCTTGGCCCAAGAATTGCACCTCCATGACGCCCGGTCTTTTAACGCGGTTCAGGTGGCATATGTGGGTATTGACCATGCAGAGTTCGGTCGCGTTGTAGCTGAATCACAGCGACTCATCGGGGAAGCAGACTCCAGAGCCATGCGCTATGAGGGTGTTGCTCAACAAGTCTTCCTGACGTCCCTTGTCGAAGAACTCTGTGGTCAGAATGAAGTGCTTCAATCGGGTCATAATGAGAAAGATGTGATGATTTCCAGTTTGCATGAAGCGGTCCAAGATGTTAAGCAAACTCTTGAGAACCAAATCAAATTCAATCAATCCATGTTTGAGGGACAGCTTCGTAAAGCAAAAGATGAGATCGACCGTTTGTCCGACCTCAACCAGAAGTCCCTCAACCTGTTAGGCCATAAAGATTCAGAAATCCAACGTCTTTGCCAAGAGTCTTCGTCTCGACAAGATCGCATCTCGTCGCTGGAGGCCAAACTGGCTGCTTCAAGCGCGCGGTCATCCAGTCGCCTGCGCTCGTCTCAAAGCCTGTGCCTGAAGCATCTTCGTCCCAGGACACCGAAGGCGGCAATAGAGCCATGTTGGAGTCGATCATGGAAGCTGTTCAGTCACTCAGTTCTAGGATGTCGACACTTGAATCAGGCCAAAATAGCACGGATCCAAGTCATGAAACCCGACCTTTGTTCGAGCGTTCTCATGAAGCAGTTGTTCATTCAACCTCACCTCCTGCAGGAACTCTTCGTGGACTTCGGGTTGCCAAAGGTTTTCCTGGAGGTCCGCCAGATCCCAATGATCAGAGGGGTGAAGGGTCTGATGATGATGAAGAGGAGTTGATTTCAGAGTCACCCTCACATGCTTCAGAAAGAGAGATTGTTGATTCTAGAGCCTTGTTGCGTACCAAGTTGGAAGTAGTTCCACAGACTGCTGCAGACTTTAGAGCTTGGAAGACGAACTTCTTTCTGATGCTTGGCCGCTTGGACATTTCATCAGGTGAGTACTTGTCCAAGTGGGCTGCTACAGCCTTTGAGGTAGGTCAGGAGAAGGAATGCCAGAGTTCGTCGGGCCTGATCCCAAGGTTTGACAGGTGGCTTGCGTCTGAGCTTCTCAAAAGCGCGCGATCCATTCCAGAACTTCTGTTCAAGGTTCAGGGGTATGTTGAACGTTGCGCGCGTCAGTCCACAGTCCCTCGACGTAGGATGATCTTGTACATGATTGCTCGACATTTCGATCTCGATCGCACTCGTGCTTCGTTGCTCACGTCGCAAAGCATCTTTCAGGTAGAGCTCAATGGTTTTTCGTTGAAAGATCTCCAGGAGTTTAGTGGTACAGTCATGGTTGTTTCATCGGTTGAGGAATGTCCGGAAGCTTGAAAGGACCATCGATGAGATCAAACGCTCTGCGTACGGTTCGGAACTTCGTGATTTCGATTTCCTGTGGGGAAGATTGCAAGAGCATCTTGTCGAAGAAAGGGAGGACACAAATGCCCGGTCCATTGAGCTTTCGTTGAAGCCGAAACCATGGAAGAAAGATCCCAAGGACAAGCCGAATCCTCCGGCAAATCCTACATCGGTTCTGCCACCGCCTCCTAAAGAGACTCCAGCGGCTCCAGCCGATCCTTCGTCGCCGAAGAATGACCCTAAGGGCAAACAAAGGTGGCAAAGGTGGCAAAGGCGACAAAGGTAAAGGTGAGAAGGGAAAAGGTAAAAGTAAAGGTTTGAGCAAGGAAGAGAAGGCGAAGATGCCTTGTGTCTTCTTCCAAAGGCCCTCCGGTTGTGAGCGCGGGTCGAGACTGAAGCAAAGGCTGAGGCGAAGGCTAAGTTAGACCCAACCAAAACCAAAGGCGAAAACCATGGCTGTCGTTGCGATCGTGACCGCCCTCTCATCCATGGCCGTGTTATATATTTAGCAAATCCTATAATAATATATTATGCATCGATATACTATTTTCAATATATTTAATGGAAATAGAGATTAAAATTAATAAATAATATATTTGGATATATGAATTATTTTAAGATATTATCGGAAAATATCCTATTAAAAATTATTTGTTTTACAAATTCGATTTATTACAATAGCAAGATTTATATAATCGACCTATAACACTTCTAAAAGCCGGATAAATTAATATAAATAAATATATATAATATATATATATATATTTAAGATTAATATTGATAAATAAATATATAAATAATGGTTTTAAAATAACAATAAATATTTTAAGAAAAATTAATCGATTATTATATTAAAACTATAATAATTCGATACATATATTTAAAATTTATAAACAATTATAATAAATATAGCAATTTTAATTAATTAGTAATATTCTTTAATTGAATTTTCGATATAATAAATATAATACATATTTATTTTATATAATATGCAATTTAATAAATTAAAAAATATTTATTTTTAAATAATTTAAATATAGAATATATTTAAAATAACTAAAGATATATAAATCTTCGATGATTTATTCTTATAATTGTCTATTAATCGTATTGTAATTAATTCTATTTTAAATATAAGGAAAATAATTTATAGAATTTATAAAAAATATAAATATGAAATTTAATTTCTATTTAACATGGAAATTAGTATTATTATTCGATTTAATAATAATATTTTGAAAAATTAATTTAAACATATTTAATAACCAATACGAAATTATTATATTTCATTTTATTTCTCGGTCGGCAGAGGTGAATTTGTCCGTATTGGGCTGCGGTAGCGAATAGCAACGGATATTTCTGGACCCTCATGCCCAAATCTGCAATCTCTTAAGCGTGAAAAGTTGCACCGGGCAAATCATGGAGGTGCGTCACTTCTTCATTCGATTTTTCGGCGATTGTACGCCAGATGGGTTGTTTTTATCTGCGGTGCTGCAATTTCGTGACGGAGGCTAACTAAAATAAATAATTCTCTCGAACAATGCCTTCATGCATGAAGATCTGATTTGGCTTTTCGTCATTATCTGCAATGAGGAGGTTTAATAATGAATTCATGGTCAAAGAAGAATAATCGCTCTGGGGCTTAGGGCCCAAATGAAGGACACTTGCCAACGTATGAAAATTGTGCCAGGTGACCGAAAAGCCTTGAGCTTCATCATAAAGCGGAATCAACACCTTAATTCGGTTCCAAAAGATAGGTTTATAAAATTTGCAATCCGAATTGGGAAAACCACAAACATATGGGTCACTTTGATGCCATTCATCGATTAACTCTTGCAAAAAGGCCTTTTGCGGCTCGCGGCACTGCAACAACAGTGGCGCAAGAACTGTGCTTTGATCTTCTGTCGAATGGAGGAAGAATTTTTGCCATCCAGCTGATATCTGGCCTTCATG